ACTGTCTCCCCAGGTCTCTCCCCAGAAGGTCACTGTGCCACATTTGTGTACCCATGGAATGGAGTGTGACAGTGTGTTTCTTCCTCCCACCCCAACCTGGGGGCTGAAAGAACGGATGGCAGAAACCTGATTCAACAGCTGAATTGAGCGCGTGCCAAAAAATGCCTGTGAGTCAATCACGGCACCCCATAAACAGAGCAGCTCAAGAGCCCCTCGAGCTCTCCCACACAGCAGCATCTCCCCTCGAGCAGGGACACCTCTTGAGGTTACGCCTGCGCAGAGATCCCTGACGTCAAGAGGCACCTTGTCATGCAGATCCTCAGTGAGTGACTAATGGTTTGGAAAGCTCCGTGAGCTTTGCTAAGATTGTATCTTTGATTGGCTGTCGATATATAATCCCATATATACATATGTACACATATACAATCCCTTGGCTGTAAACCGCTGACCGTGTGGGACTAGGAGTGGATCCAGCTGCACCTAGACTCCTCACCTGCCTTAAGGGAAAAATTGCAAGGCCTGAAGTAAAAGCAAGTGTGTCAAAATGCAAAAGCCAATTCCTGACTCCTGGTCAAGAAAAAGAAAAGTATGTCAACCACTTGTTTTGCAGTTGTAAATTGTTGTGAAAAATGTTTCAGGTTTGAAGTATTAAGCAGATGTCTTTAGCACCAAGTCCTCTGGTTCACATATCAACCACATTTATAGGAACAGAACAATGATATCTGAATGGGAAAAGGGACTTGTATCTTTAGTCCGATCAGTCAAGCAAATTGAGAAAATACATGAGGGACAACCAGTGCAAACCGAAGGATCGTTGATTTACTAGAAATAATCCCAAATGAGATTGCTTCCCCAGAAGGAGTTGCAGAAAAATACAGTGCTGTGTCCACCTAACAGGAGAAACAGAAAGTTAACTTAAGGCCAAGGTTTGCAAGTTGCAGGTGCCCATTCATACAGACCTTCAGTAATTCTGAATGCACTGCCCCTTACTGAGGGTACACCAGCAGCCTCAGTGAAGACTGAAGCTAGAAGCAGACCGTCCTTCTGAAGCCAGCCTCACCTCTACATACAAATGAAGAGAAAACTTATCTACCTGGCAAGTTGATTATATAAGACTATTTAAACCCCCTGCAGTGGAAATCATTGGCTTGCTTAAGGTGACCCAGTGTCAGAAAGCAGAAGGGCAGAATACTGTGTGAAGGCTGTTGCTTTCATTCCCAAATCTACCTACTGATGTTATCAAAGGGATAAATAGAGAGAATAAAGAATAAAAAGAATATCTAACAATATTAAAGTCAAGCCAGACTTTGATTGGTCAAATTACCATCTACTGATGCTGTGCTTATGATTATAACTAAACTTTGTAGCCCATCTATCTGAATAGTTGTGGTGCTAAGAATAAAAAAATTACACATAATGAATTAACCTTTCTTTTTAACAGAGCAACCTGTTTGGAACTCCTTGCCAAATTGATTCTCTGTTTTCTTTTACAGCATCTCCACAGGATGGCAAATGGAATGCTGTGTTCATGCTATTATCCTGTCTGTGACAATGCTACTACTTTTAACTCATGGTCAGGAACCCTTAGAACTAGCATGGACTCATGCCTGTGTTCAGTATATAGGGAGTACAAGAATAAATACTTATAAGAAAAATTTAAACTTCTCAACCATGGTCATACACAGAAATGAAGCATTCTTAAGCCCATAAATATAAATATAAATCAGTGTTCCTGGAATAGTACCAACCAAATACAACCTATTTGAAAGGGATTGCCAATCCTGGTGCTATTTAGTCACTTCTATTTATAACCCCATCAATAGTACCTCCACAGCTTTTGCCTAAACAACATTGGGTATAACATATACCCAATCACTGCTCGAGGATTAAATCACAATGGGACCATACCTTGGAACATAGAGTGTGGGCCCAATGAAATGGAAAACAACAAGGATTTAATTGTGACATAAATACCATCAGAGTCCGAGACATATGTCTCTACAAGGAGCAAAATGTCATTCTGAAACACGTCTCAACAAGAACCCTGGAATTCTACATGTACATATTGGTTAAGGGTGTGTTTGTATCAGAGCCCTTTGATTTTATATTCATAGGTAACATTTCTGTAAATGTAAACCATCACTCAAGTATTTTTTTTTAACTTTAGTAAGATTACAAGCTATGACTTTAATTATTCAGCTCCAGTTACATCATATCAGTTGTTATGACCCAATCATACAGAGTCAATATTTACTGCCTACCTCAATCAGAATGAATCTTACATTAGTGAAGAAACTATTATAAGATGACCTATGCCAACTGCTAGAATGCATTTGAAACAGTGGGCATGGAACTATAGTCACTGTTCACTACGATACAGACAACATACACCAGGTACTGGGAAGAGTGAAGGATGGAGAACAAAGGTGGGAACTTTTCTTGGATGGTCTCTGACAGCAAAGGGCACTTTTAATTCCATTCCATGCCCAGTCCTGATTCTACTAACTCTGAGATTAATGTGTCTATTGTATGTAAATATATTGTATATGAAAGCTTGGCAAATGCTAAACCGAAGCCTTGCTCAGGCAGTGAGCAAAGTACACACAAGGCTTCGCTAAGACAGATAGCAACCACAGTACTAGCTAAAAATGGGGCTGAAGGAACGGATGGCAGAAACCTGATTCAACAGCTGAATTGAGCACGTGCCAAAAAATGCCTGTGAGTCAATCACGGCACCCCATAAACAGAGCAGCTCAAGAGCCCCTCGAGCTCTCCCACACAGCAGCATCTCCCCTCGAGCAGGGACACCTCTTGAGGTTACGCCTGCGCAGAGATCCCTGACGTCAAGAGGCACCTTGTCATGCAGATCCTCAGTGAGTGACTAATGGTTTGGAAAGCTCCGTGAGCTTTGCTAAGATTGTATCTTTGATTGGCTGTCCACATATAATCCCTTGGCCATAAACCGCTGACCGAGTGTGGGATGAGGAGTGGATCCAGCCGCACCTGAACTCCTCACCTCTTGCTCTGAGGAGAGCAGAAAGCAAAGGGGTCTGCTCTGACCCTTGTAACTCAACAGGACGGTCTCTTAAATAACTGTGTTTTACCCTCTCCCCTGTGCAGTGAATAACCAAGTGTATCCTGCTATCTCAAATATTAAGTCACTTATTTATTTACAGTTAAGATTTGTTAAATTGCTATGTTGTATTTAAAAATACACTGCTGCTTCAGTAAAGTGCTTAGCTTCCATCCACAACGTCCCAGCAGCATGTGTCCTCCCCATCAGCCTCCACTGAGATGCTGTGCAGGCTGCAGGCTGCTTGGCAAGGTGTGGGCCACAGCCAGATGGGGCAGCATGAGCAGAGAGCCCCGGCCCCATGCCACCTCCTTCCCTGAGAGCACTTCAAGGAAACAGAGGGGCCACGGGTGCCTATGATTTTTGTCATCAGCATCCAATTGGCTCTGGGAAGGACAAGTGTGGAAAGACTGCTTACAGCAGTAGGTGAGAATTTGCCTTCCTGCCCTCTTGAAGCCCCAGTCTGCACTGTGGCAGTGGTCTGTCTGCATGCTGCCCGCAGCAGACACGAGCTGCCAACACAAAGCCATCTGGCCTGCTCTGAGACATCAGCAAGGCTGATAAGTCAGGGCCTGGCACCACGTTCACTGCAGAAATGAAGGGGGGACAGAAGGGACTGTGTCCTGATGCCGCCAGGCTCACATGTGGTTCAGATGGGGGTCAGAGCTCAAGAGCTCAGCCAAGGGATGCAGGCGCAGGAATTTGGGGACACACAGATGCCACCGTCCCACAAGGCAGCATGTCAAAAAAGCCACATGTCACCCTCAGAAATTGGGTTTCTTTTTATGTTATCTCTCCTCTGACCTGTCTATCCCTCTCCCTGTATGTCCTTGTAGCAGCTGATGCCTCCTGCCTATGACACGACTTGCTTTTGACTAAAGCCTGTGAAACCTTTTTGTGTTCTGGGCACCAGCACAGCTCTGAATATGAAATTTTTATTACTTTAATGGGCTTGCAGGAAAAGCCAGGAGCAGGAATGCCCTCACTTCTCTACATCCCCCCTTACTGAGGCTGTTCCATCACTTGCACTCACCGGGTGCTGGGAAGCAGCTGGCCAGGGGATGAGGAAGGGCTCATGCCACACCAGTACTGGGAAGGAAGGATGGGCAAGAGGTACCAGATGGGTCCAGCTCACAGCAGGTCCCTGGGCCAATTCTGACCCCCCCACTCAGAGTCCTCATCTCACAGTCAGCACCAGCCTGTGCTGAAGAAACCCAGACGATGTCACCGCCAGCAGTGCCTCAGACAGACTCCAGCAGGCAGGGACATTTTCTTTTTCCCTAAAAAAGCCTCTTCAGCCCAGCAAGAGCTGTTTTATTTAATCAGCACTTTCTGCCCTGCAGGACTCCTCACGGTGTAATGAAAGAGGCGCAGAAAGCCCTTTTACTCTGCTCTCCCATCAACCCCATTTGGCCTCAGCTCCGTGGTTTTTTTCTCGTTGTTGTTGTTTCATCTCCCCCTCTGCATTTTCATTCTCCTGGTAAATGTTTGAAAGTGATGCTAATGCGGTTGTTATGGCTACACCAGGCTGGGGCCCTCGCCCGAAACCCCAAACATACTATTAGCTGATTAAGAGACAAGTGCAGGACTGATGCAGGGGCGGTTGCTCTGCGGGGCTTTCCTCGTGCCCTCACCCCCCTGCTCCCCCCCCCATCCACTTCTTGCAAGATGCAGCCCGTGCAGCACATGCAGACCCTCAGATGGGGAAAGGAATGGGGTTTCCAGGTTTCCAGGGGAGGACAAGCCTTTGCACAAGACTTCCTTGAAGGATGCTCTAGTGTGGGGGTGGGCGTGATGAGAATGGTTCTGCCCTCCTGGGATGCAGTGGGAACACCAAAGGTGCTGGTCTGATTTGCAAGCATTGTGGATGTGTCTAAATCAAAGCGCCCAAGAGTGTTTTGCAGCTCCTAGCTTGGGCAAAGCTGTGACAAATCCTGACTGCACCATTTAACCCATCCATACCCCAGTGAGATGCAATGGTTGCATCCAGCACTGCTAGCTCTCAGCTCCGCCAGGGCATACTGCAATGGAACCAGCTGGGCTCTGCGACTGCTCCCCACCACAGGGGCTGCCTGCTTGCATATGTCCCCCAAAATATGCCCAGCAGTGCCCTCAGCAGCAAGGCAGAGGCATAGAAAGCTGCTCCCTCCCCAGCTGCCTCACTTCACTCCTCGCCGCTTGCACATCTGGATTGTTAATAAAGCAGCTCAGGAAGGCAGCAATCATCCCTGTGACAGCTTTGTTTAATGAAGTCGGCCTTCATTAGGCATTTCCGTTCCACTTGAAAAGCTCCTCTGTGAGGATGCTCGAATGCCCTGCGGCTGAGTTGGTGGGCAGGGATTGGTGATGCTGCAGGGACAGCATCCCAATGAGGATCAATGCTACCCCTGCAAGGGTACCACTATTTCGTTGCCCTCATGTCCCCACTTTGGGCACCAATCCCAGAGAGCCATGGGCACAGGGTCTGGCCCTGACCCTGTTTTAGGTCTTGCAGGCACTGGGGAAAGGGCAGGCTAGAGAGCAGGATGCTTACAGGGAGCCAGCTGGAGTGGCCCTACAGAGAGGGTAATTTAGCTAATGCCTGCCAGTGTGCTCCTCGAGGAGAGAGCTCTAAAGTGCTCGGCAGTTATCTGTCCAGAGGGAGCACTGTCATCTAATCAGTGCCAGGCTTGGCAAGCCACCAGCTGCAGCAAGTCAGGAGAGACCCAGGGCTCCACGCTTAGACATGGGGAACACCCTCCTGCAGCCAGGAGCCCCTCCCCATCACAGGATACTCTGTGGGCTTCCTTCTCCCACTGTCACAGCACCCCACTTCTCTCACATCCCAGCACCTTCCCTCAGCTCCCTCATGGGCCATTTCAACATCCATCCACATCATCAGATCACATCTTTTCTTCGCACCTCCTCCCCATGTCCTGGCAATGACTGCCACTGGCTTTGCCCCTTATCATGACAGTATAGATGGCTGAGAGCAAACAAATAGTGAGCCGCAGCTGTGAGGCTTGTACCACCACCCATAGCTTCTCAAGCTCATTCAGGTTCTGCTCACAGGCACTCTGCCTCCCTCCCCAGCTCAGTCCTGCTCCTGCATGCAGTGATGGGCGACACATTGCCCTTCCCCGCTGCAGCCTCACACAGCAGCCCAATAGGCAGATGGTTTTTATCCCATTTCATGCTGATTTTGGCATCAGCCTCGCCTCCCGCACCAGCGCGGATGCGAACTCTCCGCACAGCGCCTCAACACTATTATCTCCATCAGCCAAACTTGCAATCTCCTGAAAAAAGATCTCTCGCTATTTTGACAAGTTCTCTTTCCCACCACCTCCTGTCGACTGGCAGCGACGCCAGCTCTCACAGCCGCCTGTTTCACAGAGGGCTCATCCCCCACACCTTATCTCCCCTTCTTCTCCTGTGTCCTCATGGATACTGCTGGATGCAGGACTGGGTGCCGGCAGCAGAGGTGTCTGCACAGAGTGTTGTTCTTGGGCTGTGGGCTCCAGAACAGACACAGATGGTGAGCCCACACGCCGCGTCGCTGCAGGAGACAGTGACCTACACGCGGGCGTTATGCGAGATTTGGGGAGGGAGGAGGGGAGCTGACGAAAAAGCACACTCCCGCGGCAGCTCAGCTCTCACCTCCACCCCTGCAGCCCTCCCCCAGCAGCTGCCTCCAATGCCAGTGCTCTCCCAGCCTGTTGCCGTCACTCCTGCTCTGATATGCTGGTTTTTGGAGAGGGGTGTTGGGACAGAGGGTGCTGGGGGTGCAAGAGCATCCCACATCCCACATCCTGCATTATCCTGAATCCTGTGTCCTGCATCCCACATCTTGCATCCTGCAGCATCCTGCATAATCCTTCATAATCCTGCATCCCACATCCTGCATACTACATTCTGCATCTCAAGTCCCATAATCCTACATCCTGCATCCTGAATAATCCTGCATTCCATATCCTGCAACATCCTGCAGAATCCTGCAGCATTCTGCAGCCTGTATTCCATGTCTTGCTTCCAGCATTCTGCATCCCACATCTTGCATCCTGCATCCTCAATCCCACATCCTGCATTCCAAATTCCACATCCCACATTACAAATTCCACATCCTGCATCCACAATCCTACATCCTGCATCTCTGATCTGACATTCTGCATCCCACATCATTCATCCTGCATCCCACATCCTGCAGCATCCTGCATTCTACATCCCACATCTTGCTTCCTGCATCCTGCATCCTACATCCCAAAGCCCACATACTGCATCTCGCATCCTCCATTCTGCATCCCACATTCCACACCCTGCATCCTGCACAAGTGAGAGATTGCTGGATGCTCTGTGCAGGCTCTGAGCCTTTCTGCAGAAGGGGCACCTGCTCATGCTATGGAAGGGACAAAATCTACATTGGGGTTTGACAGGTGCCTGCCAGGCAGTACTGGTACCCAGACAGTGGGCAGCAGGACTCCCAGATCCTCCCACAACTTGAGCAGGGAATGAGCTCCTCCTCACCTTGCTTTGCCAGGAATCACTGCTTTCATACATGGCTCTGGTAGCACAGGGCTTCCCCAACAGAACCACTTAATGCTCTCACAGCCTCTCAGCACAATCCTCCACTACCTCCTCTTTCCCCAGTCCTCTGGGGCCAGCACTCAGCTGCAGAGATGTTTTCCTCTGGCCCTATTTATGATTCGCTTCCACATTCTCCATCCCCCTCCTCACCACGTGCACCTCAGAACATTTCCAGTGCATTCAGCAAATAATGATAGAACTACTGAGGTTGGAAAAGACCACGAAGATCATCCATCTGGTCCTCCCACCAACCCATCCCCACCAAGCTCATTAATCATGTCCGTCAGTGCCACATCACCACATTTCTTGGACACCTTCAGGGATGGTGACTCCAGCACCTCCTCAGGGGAGCAATCCAAAAGGAGAGCATCCTCAGAAGGGATTAAGTGCAGTGTGGCTCCCCAAATCAGGGCAGAGCGATGAGGCTCTGCAGGTGATGGAGCAAGGCACAACAGGAGCTGACAGCACAGGCAGCAAACAGATGAATCCTGCCTGCAGCTCAGCTTTGCTCATATGCAGCCTCTGGGGAAGGAGCCATGGGTGACAAGAGCTGCAGTCTCACCTCACTCCTGACTGGACATCGAGGAAATGAGATAGATTTTTATGGAAGTATGGTGGATAACTGCAGCTGGTTCAGCAGCAGTGGGACCAGTGTCAGCTCCCACAGAGCTGGCACATCATGAGGAACTGCAGGACCACCAGCTCCAGGGCTGTCACCCAGTCCAGACAATGGTCAGGGACCTCTGCAGGTCCACTGCCCTGCTCAAGCAGAGCTACCAAGAGCACTGCTTGGAGCTGCTTCTAGGAGGGATCTGAGCACCCTAAATTCATGCCCCGGTATAGTGGGCACTTTCAAATAGTGAAGCAGAGCATTCAGCCAGTGGTACCCATAGCAGAAGGGTGTCAGGGGATGAGTGACTGCTCTTACCACGCTGGTGAAGGGGATGGAGAGGATATCCCACCTTCAGCAGGAGTGCTTGGGGGCTGTCCCCTCCTCATCAGCCCAGCAACCACCCTTCTACCACACCACTCTTGCATACCCCCAGCCCTGCAGTGTACACCCCTCCAGTCCTGGGCAACAGGAGAGCTGAAAACCTTTGTGCTGTATTGTGCTGGGAGAACAGAAACCATTGTGTCCCTGCCCCACAGGATGTGCAGCAGGTAATGGTTTAAAGTGGCAGCAGTCTGTGGCTGGAGCTCAATGGGGAAGATCCTAGGGTGGAAGCAGAGCCCTCTGCTCCTGCACCAGCGCAGCAGCCCCAGCGCTGTAGTCCTTGAGGTTGTCTCTAAGAAAAGCAGCTGAGCCTAGGGGCCAGAAGATTTGCAGGGAAAGCTTTTATTGGTATCTCTCAGCCAATGCCAGCCCAGTTTAGAAAAAAAAAAAGAAAATGCTCCATCTCTCGGAGAGCTGTTTAACACAGCTCAGGCAGCAATTGGTACAGGGACAGCAAACCAGGCTGCATCTGCTCAGCCCCAGTCAGAAGCTCCCTGCTTCCTCCGTGTGCGTGTGCGCGCGCTAGACACCGGCATCCGCTCTCAGAATCTCGCTGTCTCCTGCAGCCTCCGGCGCTCAGCGCACGGCTTTGGCTCCCCGGTTCCAGCCTCCCCGCTCCTTTCTCCGGCGGGAAGCGCGGGATGCGCTGAGCACCCGCGGGGAGAGGAGGTGGTGGCCGGGAACGGCGGCGATGGGCATCGTATGGGCAGCACTCTAGGGCTTGTGCTCTCCACAGGACACTGGTAAGTGGCTTTTTTTGCTGGTGCTGGAGCTTTGCTCGGCGAGTGGCGTGGGCTGGCCGTGCATCGCAACACCCGTGGGTGGGTCACGGTCCTGGGGTCCTGGTGCCAGGGAGGGGGGCACCTAGAATGGGGCACCTGGGAGAGGGGGTGTAGATGGTGCAGAAGGGTCTTGTGCAGGCAGTGGAGTTCCGATGTGGGTGCTGGGGATGAAGATGAAAAGTGGGAAGCTGGGTGGGAGCTGTGTCTGCTGCAGGGAAAGGGACTCTGCTGTCATGGCATTTTCATCCCCCTCTGGGAGATGTAAACGTGCGACACACCTATAACAGCCATGGTGCGGCAGGATGGGCAGCCTGATCCTGCAGGGACAGCAGCCAACAGCCGGGGGCCCCCAGGAGAGAGACACTGCTCAGCTGGGGCTCTGCCCACCCTCCCCCCCAGACCTTCCTTGCCCCTGCAGAGGGTGACGAGGTTCTACCAGCATCGGATGCTGCCAATCCTTCTGCCACACTGCAACCAGGTCACTTCCCTGCAGCAGCCCTGACAGCATCCTGGCCCCAGTACACATCATTTGCCAGGGAGAGAGGATGAGGGGCTGCTGCCAGACCCCTTTGTGGACCTCTGGCTGCACAGGTCAGCTCAGGAGATGGAATATGGAGTGCCCTGGGCAGGCAGCAGCAGGGAGAGTTGTGCAAGAGCTGCATCACTCCTCCCAGCACTGCCCTTCAGACCAAACTGCCTTGGGTCCTGGGATCTCTGGCTTGTCACTCACATCTTCACTCCATTCCTAATGCTTCTCCCCACAGGGCTGCAGCCCTGGGACTGCCCCACGCACAGCACTGGGGATAAAAATCACTATAAGACTCGTGAGGGCAAGGGCTGATCTGATCCATGGGAGCCAGGGTTGGGTGGGGGGAGAAGGGAGCAGATATATCCTTCCCCAAAGGGGTCCTGCTCCTCACATATCCCTGCTGCATCTTTTCAGGACTGGTGCAAGGGATTACCAATGCCCCTGTTCATGGCTGCATCATACTAAGACCTCATTTTGCTCACTGAGCTGCTGCCCACCCTGCACCCAAAGCCAGCCCCTATGCCATGCCCAAAACCTTTGCAGCAGCCCCCCCAGAACCCTAACGGGCTGTAACAGCAACTTTGTGCTCCCAGCTGTTCCGTAACACGTCCACCCACAGCTGGTTCCTGACACATCCATCCTGTGCTTGCAGCCGCCACTACGCCCACGCTGCACTGTTGATCCGCACCCACCCGTGACACATCCACCCAACACATCCACCCGCACTGTTACCCCCCCCCTGTGTACAGCCAGCACGAGGCTTTGGTGCCAAGGCCAGCCCAGCTAACCTCCTCCCAGGCTGCCTCCATGCTGGCCACCAGCCCCACCTCAACCATGCCTCAGTTTCCCCATGCAGAGTGCCCTGATTAGCTGGGAAGAATGATCCGTCACTGCGTGGGGGATGAAGTGCTTCCTCGCTGTGGTTCACTCCAGAGATGAAGCAGCAAAGAGCATTTGCCATCAGAAGAACACAGGGAAGCAGTGCAGCCTGGGGGATAAGGCAGGATAGGATGTAGATGATCGAAGCAAAGGAAAGGAGGGAAGATGCCCACAACTGCTGCGATTGTCCCTGGCAGGACTCAGCTGAGCTGGGTGTTTGCAGCCAAAACCAGTTCAGATTTAGCTCTTTGATGGCCACAACCTAAAAATAGCCCCTATGTTGGTGCCCAGCAGCAAGGTCAAGGCCCCAGTGCTTCAGGCCAAGGTAAGCAGGGTTACAGCACCAGATCTTGAACTGCTAGGCATCTCCAAGGGCAGCCACAAACAGCAACAGAGCCAATTTCCCTCAGGGACACATGGGGACGCAGGATGCAGTGGCCAGAATGTGAGTGGCAGGAAGCTGGGCTGCTGTGGGGAAGGACGCCTTTGGTTACCTTTATATCCAAGGGACACCAGGGGAGGAGGAACCTAGGGAAAGCAATGCAGCACTGGGGTTTCTAGGAAGTTTTGGGCCTGGGTCTGGCTGGGTGATGAGATGAGGGTGAAGCCATTCTGCCCCTAAATGTACAGACATCCTGTTTCAGAGACACCCAGAGAAGGGTAAAATTGGGTTGGAAAGAGTCCAGCTATGCAATTCTAGCAGAGACAGGGAGGCCAGCAGGGCTGAGAACAGATACAAGCCATGACAGAAGTGTGATAGCCTCTGGGCTCAATGCCAGGTGTGCAGCATCTGGTGGCAGGGGACACAGGTTGGCACTGGAAGAGGATGATCACCAGGGACTGGAGGCAGGAAGGTACACTGGAACATTTTGGCAATGGCATGGGGCATGTCACAAGCCCATGCTTCCCCAGCCTGGAGAACATCAGCTACAGGGGAAACTGGTGTTCCAAGTGCTCTCCTCTCATCCTTGAATAGGATGAGGCCAGCAACAGGCCAAGGAAAGCTCAGGGACACAGGAATCTGCAGAGGCAGATTAAGAGATTGCTGTATCCCAGCTCAGTGGGTTGCAGGCAGAGTTGCAATGCTGCCTAGCAGGAGAGTTGAACCTACCCAGGGCCAATGGGCTTCTGAGCCACTTGGGCAGGGGGTGGCCATGCTGCAAGGAGGCAGAGACATCCAGGTATCTTCCCTCCCACCAGCACAGCCGCAGCGATGCTGCTGCTGTGGCTTGAACACGTGCCTCCAGCTCTCCTCCGCTCCCACCTTTCCAAAGCCCAGACAGCTGTGCTGGGTGCCAGCCACAAGCTGGGTGTGGGAGCTAATGACTGCAAATACCCCTGCCCAAATATGCACACTCCCAAGACATGTGCCAAGCATGCAGAGTGGCTCCTGGGGAAACACATGACCCCTTGCATAGGAGATGGGATACAATGTGTGCACACGCAGCACTGCATATGAGAATGTGTGTACAGATGGTCTTAGAATTGGAGGGGCCAGAAAACAACATGCATATGTGCGTGCAGTAGTGTTTGTTTTTGCATGCCTATGCATGTGTGTGTGCATTCACGCACGTGAACAGGGCTGGTGCAGCAGGAGCTGGCCAGGCAGGAGTGGGAGTGCAGGGCCACGCATTCGCTGCACGGCAGCTTTGGTGCAGGCGCACTCTGCTGCCTGTCTGCATGCTCAGCTCAGATGTGGGGCAGCTGTAATTACTGTGCTGAGGCTCCCTGCTGCAGCAGTGCCTGCAGAGCTGGGTCATCCTGCCACTGTGAAATCCCAGTCATATCACTGCTGCTAATTATCTTGTTCCCCAGGAACATCCCTGCCTCCTGGCGTGCTGCGGAGGCCAGAGGGGCTGGGAGATGGCTGTGCTAATGATCCTCCTTTATGTAGGTAGTGAGTGCCACCAGTCGTGCAGCTCCAGTAAGGACAGGGAGGCTACAGGGCTGGAAGCTCCTGTCTGCTGCATCTTTCCCAGTTCCACTTCAGCCAGGCACAACGTAGTGCTGGGACCCTTTTGGGGTGATGCTGTGCTCCATACCGCTGGAGAAGAAATTTTCCTTCTCTCCACCTTCAGCTTACTCCATCCTTGCACTTGTGCAGCTTGGGTTCATGTCCAACTGCACTGAAACAGAGCCCAACCTGTTTCCTGCCACTGCTGCCCTCCCATTTTGCCCCAAGCTGCTCTTCCCTCAATTCTGCACCAAAGTCCCTTCTTGGAGTCCATATACCCCAAGCCTTTGAGCTGCTCCACTACCCCTCCTGCACCTCAGAGCTTTTGCATGGCTGAACCTCTCCTGGGAGGAGCCAGCCCCAGGCCACATTTTGAGGAGGACTGCAGGGTTCTCAGCACTCAGGGACACGATGCACACACATACATACATATGAGCTTGAGAAATGAAGAGACTTGGGGGTGAAAATAAATTTAGGAAAGGTAAGAGAACCAGCATGAGCTCTGCTGCAGTGAGATGCTGGGAAGACACACTGCACCTTCAGCTGGCTAAAGACACTTTTTTTCTGGGCTGCAAGCAAAGAGCAGGGTCACAAGTGATCCTGGCCCTCTGGGATCCACTGGTCTGCTGTGTAAAAGGCCTGCAAGCAATCCTTGTTAAGCTGCAGTTCCAGGATGGGTGAGGAAAGGTACCCCAACACTCAGACTTCCCTTGCTCAGAACTCTGCAGGGGTTTGGGTCCTTTTCCCCATAGCCACCATGGTCACCATCCCAGTATGCTACCACAGGTACATATTTTGGTGACCAGGGATTTGTCTCAGTGGTACAGCAGTATGGGACAGCATTGCACCACAAGACCTTAGCACTGAGCACCTTTTCCCCCTTGCAGAGCCATGGGGGTGCTGATGTCAAGACGGCAGACGGTGGAGAAGGTGCAGAAGGTCAGCTTGGCTGTGTCAGCTTTCAAAGATGGGCTGCGGGAGCAGCCAGTATCACGGAGGCGGGCAGAAGCTGGGGGCACGCGCCGGGGGACACTGGAGCAGACAGTGCAAGAGGCAGAGGAGGAGGCATCTGCAGGGCCCTCACAGCCAGAAGAGGTCAGCGCCAGCAAGGCTGCCTGGGAGCGGCTGCGGGATGGCCGAGGTGTGGAGCCAGAGGAATTTGATCGAGCCAACAGGTTCACACCACCCGCCTTCATTCGGCCCCAGCGAGAGCTGCACGATGATGAACCACTGGACATCAGCCTGGAGCAGCGGGAGCAGGCAAGCAGACAGGCATGGGGACAGGGTGGTAGGAGTGAGTCCAGAGTTGGAGACACACAGGGGATGTGCAAACACCTCCAATGCCTGCAGGGTGGTAACAGACTCCCCTGAGATAGGTGGCTCAACAGGCTTGGTTGGTCATGGCACACATGCATCTCAGTAGGGCAGAATGTGGGAACAGGACCTTTCCAGTTCTGGGGTGATCCACTCTGTGTGTTTGTTCGCACAACCTTACAGACCAACCCAACCATCTACACCTACAACTTTCACAGCCCAGTGAATCTACAGCCCCGTAGTTTATTCATGCATGCCTGCAATCCTATAGCCACCAACCCACATCTGCAACCCTACACAACCATCCACCCACAATTACAAGCTGGCAACCCAGCCAACCAACAGCTTTACAGCTTGTCCTTTCACACAGAGTCAGCAAACTCTCAAATCAAAACTTCCATCTACCCACACCTATAAGTCTGTAGTCCAGCCAACCTGCAGCCTAAGAGCCTGCTCTTCCACACCTGCAAAACTAGATTCCAGAGAAGCTACAACCCCACCAACCCAACAGCCATACCCTTCACCTTTCATTCACTCCTGTGAACCCATGCACCCTTCTATAAGGCCACCTGGCCACAAAGCCAGACATTCCTCCTACTATCCCAAGAATTTACTTTCCTGTTCCCTTTACACTCCTACACATACCAGTGATGTAGGGCCCTCGTGCCAGGGAGTCATAGTGAGCACCCCATGGTGCTGAGCTGTAGCATCACTCCACAGGTCCTCAATGATGAGATGTGTGAGATCTGTGAAGTGTGGACAGCCGAGAGCCTCTTCCCCTGTCGCGTCTGCAGCCGGGTGTACCACGATGGCTGCCTGCGCCGCATGGGCTACCTGCAGAATGACAGCGCTGTGGAGGTGACGGAGACTGCACATACCGAGACAGGCTGGAGCTGCTACTACTGCGTGAGTGCCCACCTCGGTCCAATGTTGTGACCTGCCCCAGTGCGATGGAGCTTCTACAGTTCCTCAGCCCCCCCATCACCAACACTAATGGGGAGCAACCATGGGGCTGGGGACACTGTCCCCTCTCCACCCCCCTGCCACCACTGGATGCTAACACTTCCCCTGCCTTCCCCTTTAGGACAATCTTAACCTCCTGCTGACAGAGGAGGAGATGTACAGCTTGATGGAGACCCTGCGGCAGTGCAAGATCATCCCAGGTGCGTATCCATCTTGTCATGGAATGGGCTGAGCCCTTGCTCACCCTGCACATGGCTCCCAAGCTGGGGTGTCACCTTGTCGTGCAGAAGGTATAAGCTGTGCAAAAGGTGGCAGCTGTGCAAGGAAGCAGGGGAAATGGGGGGAATGCACCTGGGGGAAGACTGGTGGAAGGGCTGCTCTGAATGTGCCCCCACAGAAACCTCCCTGACGCTGGACGACTTCCTGCACTACAAGCACCTGGTGCACAAGCAGCAGTTTGAGCGGCCCATGGAGGAGACACAGGAGGAGCGGGCCACACTGCAGTTCTCTGCCCTGGATCCTGACAAGAAGGGGCACATTGAGTGGCCAGATTTCCTCTCCCACGAGTCCATCCAGCTGCTGCAGAAACTCCGGCCGCTGGTATGGTCACGGGGTTGGGATGTCCATCACAGCTTGCTCATGACCCCAGGGCTTTGCCCAGATCCTCCACAGCCGGTAGTGGGGGATCCCCAAACCTGGATGTTCCCTGCTCCCCTCTCTGTCCCCAGAACTCCCTGCTGCGGCTGCTGACGGTCAAGGAGCGGGAGCGGGCTCGTGCTGCCTTCCTGGCCCTTGACCAGGATGGCAGTGGCTTCATCGGGGAGAGCGAGTGCCACAAGGCCCAGCATGCCTGGTTCCGCAAGCACCAGAAGGAGACACCATCCTGCAGCGTCAGGTATGGAGGGGACCGTGGTACAGACCGAGGAGCCCTCTCCTTTCCTCCTCCATGGCTGCAGCCCTTCCCTCGTGCTGCAAACCCTCTCCCTGCCAGCCACTGCCTGTGGCAGGGCTGAACAGTGCTCTGTCATCCCACAGCATCAGCCATGTTGGGCCCATGTCAGAGAGCAGCCCGGCCAGCAGCGGCAGCGGCAAGAGCCAGGAGAAGACGCTGCTGGCGTCGGAGCAGGAGGAGGCCAGGTGAGGGGCCGCCATGGAGCGGGGGGCACGCCATCTTGGCGAGCACTGAGGAGGTCTCTCTGAAGCTGTCCCCAAGGGGCTGTGAGGTGACAGCATCTGCCCCACAGGTCCATCGACTGGCCCAGGTTCCTGCAGGAGAATGTCGCCTACATCCTGGCAGCCCGTCCCAACAGTGCCGCCATCCACCTGCAGCCGCCGGCCTAGCTCCCGGCCTACCTGCCCCGGCGCCATCTTGGTTGGCGAGGCCTCCCCTGTCGCCCTGCAGGGGAGCCCCGTTGCCACGGCGACCGGCCCCGCATCCCATTGGCTGAGGGAAGTACCGCCCCTTTTGCCCCACCTGCCAATCCCACGCAGTTCTCCACCCTCTGCCAGTGGGGAGCCAGCAGCTGATTGGCAGGCGGGAAAGCAGCTGCTCCCCCTTTCCCCTTGCCTCCGTGTTGGATTTGATGGTGACGCCCGAGCTGTGGGCCGCGCTGGGCTGCCACAACCAGAGCAGGTGCTGCCTTGGGTGCAGCGCTCTGATTGGCTGGGGAATGCCTCTGGTGCTGGAGGCCCTGCAGTGGGGAGGCCCTGGAGGCCATGGGGCAGAGGAAGGCTCCTCTGCAGCAAGGCTGTCCCCAGCCCACAGCGCTGACATCCCTGGGTCCCCCTCAGGGCAGCACTGCAGGCTGGCAGCCTCCCACAGCCCGGAACTGTGGCTAGAGGTCCTCCAGGATCCTTCCTCCTGCCCCAAGGATAAGGCCTCACAGGGTGGGGGTGAGGCAGCAGACCACGAGGCTCAACCCAGGGCCCCTTGCAGACCTTGCCCCATGCACTCTGGAGTGGAGGTCTGGTTGCTCCCATCTGGCGAGGCCTCACCACCACCTCCTCAGCCCGGGCGATGAAGGCACCATCCCGCTTGGCTCCCCCTCCCCAAATCAGGGCGCTGCTCACCCCTTTAGGGCCTCCCTACCCCCTTTAGGCATTCCCTTTCCCCTTCAGGAACTTCCTCCCTTGCAAGCTGTGAGACAATCACAGAGATTCAGGCCATACGTGAGGCCGGGAGATGAGCCAGTGCAACATTTCAGGTGTTGGGCCTGAGGTGGGGCATTGGCTGGCTGGAACATGACTGGAGCGAGCAGGCAGCTGGGGATATAAGGTGTTGCAGCCTCCGCTCTGTACTGGGAAGTATCCATTAAACAGCTGTGTCCAACCAACCTCTGGCTGCTGATTATATGAGGCACATGCCACAGATGCCATACAGCACCCGCCTGTCTTGTCCCAGGGGGATTTTGGGTGAACCCGCTGCTTCCTGCTGTGTTGAACAGCCTGCCCTGGGCTTGGGTCCTTGTCTCATCAGGCAGGCTGTTCCTCGCATCCCCAAAAGTCCTGCAGCGATTATGGGTGGAGAAGCTTGTGCCTGGGGACATCTGCTCCTGTCCCTCTCTCCCAACTGCAATCCCAGCCCTGCACAGGAGGAAAGCTCACACGTCAGTACAAAGCTGCTCCTTGTCCACAGAGGTGCTGGAGTCTGTGAGCAGGCAGACAAAGAACCCTGGGCAATGGTGGAGGCTGGGTGCTGGGAACAAGCTGCTTGCAGCTGCACTGGGAAACTCCAAATAACCAAGGGCCCTCTGGAGGGGTTTTAAGATTGGTGCTGATGGCTAGAGGCTTCTCCAGTAATGGACATATCCCTGCAGCACCCAGGGAAAGCTGCTGGTGGCACCTGGTCTCAACGCTGCCAGCAAAGGGGGGCTTTCCTGCAGACCACTCCCACAGCTAGAGTCCCAGTAAGAGGGGCTGCCACTGGGTCCAGACCACAGCAGTGGTGTCCAGCTGTGAAAATCCAGGTACCCATCACTTTGCAGAAGAGGATTGTGGAAGGAAGAAGGACAAGCTGGTAGGTGGTTGAGTACCAGAAGTCAGAATGCTGTGGGCAGGTGATGCTGCACTCACCTGTGGGCAGGCAATGTTACACTGCTGGAGCAGGGGAGGAGGGTGGGATTGCACATAGGTACTGAAGGCGCTCCAAATCCATGCTCTGCGCACCCACTGGATCCAAGCAGAGGAGCAGAGCATGGGCCAGATCAGGGTTTCAAAACAACCTATGAAGTGTGTGTGGAGGTCCCTTCTTGCTTCCTCCCTTCTTCTTAGTCTCCAACCTCTGGGACACCCAGGAAGACACAGGTCTGTTCCCAAACTACATTGCTGTGGGTGTAGTGCCATGACAGAGCCATGCCCACTCTGCTCCTGCCACTTTCCTGTGCCTGAATATGGAACACTGCAGCATTCCTGGCTCCATCATCCCTTGCTCCCCCCTACCACACACTGTCATCCTTGCCAGTACACGTGGTTGGCTGCTGTCCTCATGGAGTTGGCTAATGAGGGATGCAGGTGTCTGGGCTGGCCACATCTCTCAAGGTTATGCTATCACCACGTCAGCTGCCCAGTGTGCACCTGGTGTGGCAGATGCAGTCCCCCACCCACCACCAGCAGGGAGACAGAACATGTCTACAGCCCTCCAGTACATGGTGGGCAATGCATTGCAGGGCACTGCTATGGCATTCCAGCTATGACGTGCTGCTCCACCAAGACCAGTGACCTCTGCTTGGGCCAAGGGGAGAAATGTGTCCCTGTCCCTAGGAAAGCCTGAGTAGCCTGTATTCCTCTGTCACTGCAAATCTGTCCTGAATGCTGGTGCAAAGCACCACAGGTCTTATAGCCCCAAATCACAGGATGGGGATGCTCTGGTAGGAGTTAAGGCTGCAGCAAGGACAGCCCAACCCCTCAGATCCACTCCTCCTTCATGTTCAGACCCTCCCTGGAAGGAAATCCTAGGCTTGATAATTTCATTGTAATTGAGGTGTCAGAGCTGCCTATATCACCTCAGGTCCATGGGTCCTTCACCCCAGGTCCATCACCACTGCAGAGTGCTGTCCCGTGGGTACTGTGCTCCTGGTGGGACATCCACAACAAGGGCCCCAGGGGAAGGTCTCATTGCCCCACACAGCTGTGCACCTAAGTTGCACTGCCTGGCCGAGGGTGTCCTCGCTGTCCCAGGGTATCCTGCAGCAGCACTACGGGGAGGTGGCACCCTCTGCTGGGGGCACAGCCATTACACAGGCATCGCTAAGCCACTGCAGCGTCTGAGCTTGTAAGGAAGATGAATGCTTGGCTTTGCAAGCCAGGGCGCAGGAGAGCACTCCCATCCAACTCCTGCTCATGGCCCCAGGGCTTTCCTGGACACGGCTAGGTGCAACGGAAAGGTAACCAGAATGTGCCCCACATCAGAGCCCGCCACTCTTTGGGAATATATGTGGCAACATTCAGACGGGAGGGCAGAGGTGAGCCAGGCAGTGTCTCTGCAAGTGGTGGCACTGGGGTCATCACTGGGGCAAGGCAGTGAGATGTCTGAAACTCATCCCATTGCTGCCCCAGGGACTGTTAGGGGCCAATGGAAGAAAAAAACTAGGTTATGTGGGCATAGAATCATAGAATCATAGAATCACAAGGTTGGAAACAACCTATGAGATCATCTAGTCCAACCGTCTTCACACTACCACTGCTACCACGAGCACTAAACCAGATCTCGCAGCTCCTCGTCCAGACGCCTCTTGAACACTGCCAGGGATGGCGACTCCACCACCTCCCTGGGCAGCCATTCCAGTGCCTGACCACTCTCTGAGAGAAGAAGTTCTTCCTTAAGTCTAACCTAAACCTCTTCTGGTACAACTTGCAGCCATTTCCCTGGGTCCAGTTCGTTGCCTGGGAGAAGAGGCCAAACCCCTCTTCACCACAACCTCCCTCCAGGAAGTTGTAGAGTGCAGTGAGGTCTCCCCTGAGC